GAGAGAGAGAGAGAGAGAGAGAGAGAGAGAGAGAGAGAGAGGAGAGAGAGAGAGAGGGAAGGAAGAGGGAGGAGGAATAAGGAGGAGGAGGAGGAGGAAGGAGAGTCTGGCTTTTCTCCATCCAGAAGATCACCATCCAACGACGTACCAACAGACACTGGCGAGTCGCGAGAACCACGTGGGGGAGAAAAGTCCGGGAAAGCACGAGGAGCGAGGAAGAGAAAGAGGCTCGGCGCTAGAAAGCGATGGGGCAGAGAGAGAGAGGCAGAACCAGCCTCCCGACGCGTCTTACCACGACGCGCAAGGAGCGACGCCGCGCGCCTCCCCAGAAGGGGAACAACCATCTGGAGGGGGTGGAAAGGGGGTGGCAATGGCGGGGGTAGCAAAGACGCTCATTCGTTCCTCGGGTCACGTGGGCCTCTTCTTATAACCAAGGTTTTTCCTTTCGTCCCGCGGGAAATTCGAACCCCTTACGCCCAATCCTTATCCCCTTACGAACAGGGGATAACGAACAGGGGGCCGACTTTCGTTCGATAAACGGAACGCCACGATCTTCCACCATTCGTCCATCCATCCGTATCATCCGTATCATCGATGGTGATTTTCTCTTCTCTTCTCTTTTTTTTCTTTTCCTCTCCTTTTTTTCTTCCCTTCTTCCTTCCTTTCTTTCTTTTTTTTTTTCCTCCCTTCGCATCGAGTCTCGACTCCGCTCCAACTTCCTCCCCCTTCCCTTCCCTCCCATCCCCTGCCTCCCCCGCCCCCCGTCCTCCCACCTTTCAATCCATTCCCAAATTCCGATCGAAAGAGATCGATTTTGTTTGTTTCCTCCCCACCCCTTCTTCCTTCCTCCCCCCCTTCCTCCCTCTCCACCTCTCTCCTCCTCCTCCTCCTCCTCCTCCTTCCTTCCTTCCTTCCTTCTTTCCTCCTTCTCCCCTTTTTCTTCTCTTTTTCTTCTCTTTTATTTCCCCTCCCCTCTCATTTTTTACCTTCCTCCATTCTCTCGCCGAATTTGCTCGTCGAATTTTCTCGGTCCTTCCTTGAGGGAGGGGGGGGGAGGAGAAATAGAGGCGGAAGGGGGTCGGAAGGGGGAGACATCGTAAAATCGTAAATCGTCGCGCGTCGTAAAATCGTAAATTCGTAAAATCGTAATCGTAAATACACGATCGAAATCGCGATGTATACATATATATATCGGGTCCGGAAGAATAAAGATCGAAACGAAAATCGAAAACGAATTCACGAACGATTCTCGACGAAAATCTCGTATAATTTCTGTTTCAGACGCGTCGCACTGTGTTGTTATGTGTTGTCATAGTTATTTCATTGAAAAATTAATTTCACCGTTTTCGAAACACGCACCGATTTCTGTTTGTGAAACACAAAGTCTGAACAACAACTCCTCTTAAGTTTCTGCCGAAACCGGACTTGATTATTTAGACAAAACTTTCGTTCGAGCGTTCCTCATTTCGAAATTACGACTAGTAAGAAGAAGAAGAAGAAGAAGGAGAAGAAGACGACGAAAAAACGGAAGAAGAAGAAGAAGAAGAAGAAGAAAAGGAAGTGGAAGAGGAAGAGGAAGAGTGAAAAAAGGGATAAAATAGGAAACGAAGAAAAGAAAAAAAAATTATCAAAAAAAAAGCAACAAAAAAAAAGGGAAGAAACGAAATTAAAACAAAAAAAAAAAAAAAAAAATAATAAGCATTGCCTTAAGGAAGAAGAGTATACCTACACTGTCGAAGGAACAAGCAAAGAAACACAGGGGGGGAATAAAAAAAAAAAGATTAATAATAATAAATAATAAAAAAAAAAAATAACAAAAAAACACTTTAGACGCCTAACAAAGTAAATTGTAAAGATATGACTAAAGTATATTTTTAACAAGTTTTGAGAAACTTTAGATTTTAAAGCGTAAATTTTAAAAGCGAAAAAAATGAAAAAAACCATAAAATTCTTAATAACTAAAAATGTGATCTAAAAGTCGTTGCTACCAAGAGAAGCCTTATGTCCTTGTTTCAATTAGTTCGGTTCCAAACGTAAGTACCAAAGAGAAAAACAAAGAAAGAAAGAAAAAAAAGAGATAGAGAAAAAAAAAGATATTTTGCATGATGGCATGTTGCACGCTACATCTCGTTTCGTTTTTCATTATATTTCTAGGAGGGCGGGGGGGGGTGGGAGGGAGAGGAAAAATTTGGCGCTAAAAATCGCGACCATCCCGTTCCTCCGCGACTTTCCACCGACCATCCGACCGAATACCGCGCCTATTCCCGATCCTATTCCCAATAATAATGATAATACCCGACAACAATCCCTCGAAAATGAAAATCGAGTCGACGAGCGTGGATAAATCACGCGAACGCGCCGGATTTTCCTCCCGCGAAACGTCTTGCCACCTCGAATAATGACAGCCCTTTAACAGGCACACCCAACGCCGACCGAGAACGACCGCCAACAAAGTTGCCTCTCTGTAATTGTACACTTTCGTGCGTACACCACCGCTCGCAACACTTATTACAGTAAATCGGTTAAACGCGAGAGCGTCCCGTAATCATAGCAACTACTGGTGTAATCACACACCACGCCGTTGCCCCACACCCGGTAGTAGTAGTAGTAGTAGTAGTAGTAGTAGTAGTAGTACTAGTATCGCCATTATAATACCCATTATCATTATAATTCGCAGATTATTAAGTAGTGTGCAACGGTTAAGACGACTGATCGTCGAATCGATCGAGCACGCTCCAAGATCCGTATCGCCGCGTTAATTTCTTTCCCTTGCGAGTAGAACGCAGAGGCTCGAAGTCGAGTCGAAATCGGTCGTTGATCCGCGCCCCAAATATATATATATATATATGTCGCGTCGAGCAAATAGATAAATAGACTCTGGTGGAGTCTAGCGGACGAAATCGGTATCGGTATCGAAATGGTTATTACGTTTGTGGAAAATGGCGACGAAACGTTGTTGTAGCGAGACGAACGAAAAAAGGGAGGAAAAAAAAGGGGGAGGGGGGCGGGCGGGAACGAGAGACGGTGGTAAAATCGGGATCGGGGCGAAAATATATTCGAGAACGGGAGGAGCGAGAGGGAAAAATTGGGAATCGGACGGATCGAAATCATTTTATTTTTGCACGGGACGATGACGCATCCACCAGACCCCGGGAAACGCGAACGATGATCAGGGGTGAGGCGGGTACGAAGGGGTGGTGGTTCGATTTGAAATTTCCTATTTCGCAAGTGGAGGAGAGCGAAAGAGAGAGAATGAGCGAGAGGCCTGGGTTGAAAAGCAGCGGCGGCGGCGGCGGCGGCAGCATGCAACGTAGCAACACGCGAACGCGCGTTGTTATATACGAACGAACGAACGAACGAACGAACGAAGCGACGAAAATGACGGTGGGCGCGAGGGGGGTGGGTGGCAGATCAGCGGCAACAGCGCGCTTTCGCCAGGCCAGAATTTTTTTTCGATGATTTTCGAAGCGAAGGGGGGTCGCGAGCGCGGGGAGGTTAGAGGGTTTACGTGTAGAGGAACGCGCGTAAGTCTATCATCCCATTTGGCTGGATTCGACGATGCTCGTTGTTGTTGCGCCGGGAATAGCAGGGGAAGGGGCAGGGAAGGAAAGGGGGCGGCGGTGGTGGACAGGAGCGGAAAGGCGTTAGGGTGGCCCTGAGGTGGAAAGAGGCAGGCGATGCAACTCTGGTGGTGTCGGTGGTGTGGTGTGGCACGAACTAGGGTGAGCGAGAGCGAGAGAGAGAGAGAGAGAGAGAGGAGGGTGGGC